ACACATAGGTCTTGATAGTCTCCATTTTGGGCCTGCTTAACCAGCCCAACATGGGGACCTTGGCCTAGCGTTGGAGGCTATAAATACCTTCTCCATTGAGAGGGTCAGGTATTCATTCACTGACTCTTACTATAGTACTTGCGCTCTTATTTCTCTCGTTCTTACTTTGGCGTCAGAGTACCTTGCAGGTACACTCCCCCCTCCCACTTCACTCAACAACTGCCGCTCAACTCAAGCTCGTGGGCCAGTGACGATTCCTTCTAATCAGATACGATCAGTTGATCATCTAGACCTCAAGTCTTATAAGATCATCTATATCTAAACAAACATGATCATCTGCATCCAATTCAAATTGATCACCTGTGCCTAGATTAATAATTTATTGTGTGAAGTCATCATTCATTTAAGTAAGAGAGAATAATCTTAATGTTCACATCATGACAATTGTATCACTAATAGAATATGATTCCTAATGGTCTAATAATTGACAAATCAAATATTCAGTATGAGTTTCACGTCGGAAAGTTAGACAAGTTATAAGTGGGGATAAACCTCACTTTAAGTCGATTTTATAGGGTTGAGTTAGACCCAACCACATTTCTTAACATGGTATCAGAGCCGGGTTTGAGATCCAAACATATTTAACATGATATCAGAGCATGGTCTAAGATCCGGTGGGCCACCTATTATAGTTTCTGCTATCGGGTCATCCACCATTTATTTTCACGTTTCAGTTTTCTAATCTTGGATGTGAGGAGGTGTGTTAAGAGTTTCATATCGAATAATCTATAATATGAACATATACTTATAAGTGAGGATAATCCTCGTCCTACAAACCGGTTTCGTAGGATTGAGTTATGCTTAACCAAATTTCTTAACAATATCAATATTTTATAGTTGACTAGATGTTTTTGTTGGTTTGTTATTTGTTCACGTAGACAAACAAACTACCAATCAAATAACTATCAATAGAATATAGCTAAACACCAACACAACACTCCAAATGAGGTAATCAAAGAAAAGAGATATGATAGATGATCCCCACGTTTCTTCTTACTCACGTTTCTTCTCATTTGATACGAATTAAAGAATTCTTTATACTACAAATTCAAGCAACAGTGATCCTTTTCCCTTCATTTGCAAGTTACAACTCCATCATCATCGTGCAAAGATATGGTGGATGCTATTCCATTCTTCAACTCTCTTCCTGAAGATATCAACTTCAAAATTGCTTCACTTCTTCAGGTTCCTATTTCCTATATTTTCACTTTACCAATATCATCATGCTACAACTTTGATTTTTCTTGATACTTTTACTAGGTGCGGGATTTGTGTGCTTTGAGTTGCTGTTCAAAGTTCTGGAGACAACTCTGCTTCTCTGATTCTATTTGGCATCATCTTCTCACTATCAGATGGCCCTTACTCCATATCTCACCTCTCTCTCCCACCAATCTCAAGGTACCCAATATTTATTCCTCTTTGGATAGAAAGTTTAATTAAGTGCTTATATCATAAGCAATTATTTTGAGTTTGAATTGCAGACATGGAGAAGGTTGTATTTCGAGAGGCACGTCGATGTGGGACTTAGAACAGGGTCTGTGGAGAGGTTTATGAAAGCCTGTTCGCGCAATGAATCACTTGAGGTTGACGACTATCTGCAAGCCTTTGAAATTGTTAATAGTGCAAAGTTTGGTTTTGAAGACATCCAAAGGTTCCTGTTTAAACCCGAAATAAATGTGTTGGTTAACTTGCTTGGTGTGCATTATTGCATAGCAAACCTCGGGATTTCGGTATTTCATCCCTTTTCACACTCCTTTATTTAATTTTAGATCAGAGTGATATGAATTTCACATGCAAGTGTTTCTGTTTGCAGGGTGATAATCTTGTACAAGTACTACGGACTTGTGAGATCTCAAATCGGCATGTATGCGTAAAGTGGTGGAAACTTGGTAGGTGGATCCATGGATTCCGCGGTAGGGATGAGTTACTTTTTCGTTGGATTTCTTTGGAAGATTTGGCAGCAGAAGAAGATGAGACTGTTTTGGGAGTGCTTCGTCGAGGCACTGTTCTTGAGGTTTTACGCGTTCAGATCTCAGCTGTTGATCATAAATCAATACCTTGGTCCTATCAGGATAACCAGTGACTGGAATTGCTGCAGGGGAACTCAACTATTGTTAATATCTATCAGCATCAACTATAAATGTCAATGTTTATCAGCATAGTATTTGTCAATATCTACTAGTATGTGTATATTTATAGTTTATAAAATTCTGCAGTAATGATACCTGTGTTGTATGTCAATAAAAACAGGGCAGTAATAAATAATAATGTTTATTATCTTCTTCACATTGTTAAATTGTAATTCGATTGTGTCAAAAGAGATTAGATTTGATTTAGATCTAAAACATAATAGATTTAATTGAGTACTAAAATAGATACTTTCAGCTTTTATAGTTTTAGGATTAGTGTGTAAGCTAAATCTACAAATAAATGGAGTAACTCTTATTTTGTAATTAAGTCATTCACAGTATTTTGCAGTTGCAAAGTGAATAACAAAGTTTTTCATAGTTTGTGGATAGAGAGAAATTCTGTAGAAAATAATTGTCTTATTTCTTTTCTTTTTTTTTCTCATAATTCATTGTCATTGTATAGAAATTCGTCATAGATATTTGGTGAGTTTCCAATATCTGGTATCAGAGTTCGGTTTCGATTCAAGAGAAGTATCAATCAAGAACGATTGAAGAATTCACGATGACAAATTATGAGAATGCAAATTATCAAGCAACTCTACCAATTCTGAAAGTAGACAACTATGAGAATTGGTGTAAACAAAAGAATCTTAGAACACAGAGTTCACAAAATTTCATGAATCTCAAGAGGAGAAGCATGAATACCCCAAGGAAAAACCCCAAGGACGTGAATTTCCCCATGAATCACATGAGACTCACGGGAAAAATCTTCATAAGACATGAAATTTCATCTGAAATTAACAGTAACCGCGGATAAAAGCACTTACATGATCAAAGCCAGAACATAGTTAGCGACGGTGGACACGGTGGTGCTTGCGACTGAGAGGAAATCAGAAGCAGAGAGAAAAGAGGTGGAGGAAAAGCGTAAAACGCTGCAAATGAGCCCTTGAGTCCTATTTATAAACCTGCACGAAAGACAAAACGACACATTGAGTGGTGTGTCAGCGTTTCATCTCTTCGCCGCCCATGCGCCTAGCTCATCATAACCCCTACTTCCAAGGCCATCATTTCTTCACAAATGTAACGCCACGTGTCCTACGAAGCAAACTCCCATTCGGCTCCATGTCGGTCGAGGAATGTAAGAACGCTCCCCGTGAGCACACTCCAACTCCCATCCAAAGAAGCGCCCATATGAAGTCGTACACACTCTAGACGACCATGTTTTCCTCGCAAAGTTGACCCCCAACGAGCCGCGCTCCATCAAGTGCGTGAGCCAACCTTAAAGTTATAACTCCTTCACTTAGAAGCAACGACTTTGGGGGCTCATGTTCTGGACTGGGCTCACGCTTAGCCTTAAAGTCATACAAGGCTCAATCCAGCTATGATGGGCCTCCCTTTGACCCTCCGTCGGGCAGGATCCTTACCCGCTCGACCACATGGAAGGTTCACTACGTGCCCTACGCGATCATGATCGTGGGTCGTGTATCACTTTAGCGCTCACATTGAGGACTTGTCCACCATGTCGAGGACACTTGCCCCTGGTGCCCGTCGAGACGCATCCTCCTCGTAAGACACACAACCAACGTCCATCTGAATACCCCGAAGTCCTATTGACCCCAAAAGGACCGCGTCCACACCTTTCTAGTATTTCGGGACAGTTCACCCAATATGGAGACCACGTGCTGGTCTCCACTACACACGTAGGTCTTGGCAGTCTCCATTTTGGGTCTGCCCACTCGGCCTAACATGGAGACCTTGGCCCAGCGTTGCTCTCTTTCAATAGAGGGTCAGGTACACTATTTTCTACACACTTATACTCTCTACTTGCATTGTTGCTCAGATACTTACTTTGGCATCAGAGCGTCTTGCAGGTACCCTCCCATTTGATCTTCAACCGCCGTTCAGTTCTAGTTTGTGGATCATCAACGATCCATTCTGATCAGGTACGATCAAATAGATATAAATATGTATCTTTATCAATGTTGTCTTCACAACCATCAAAATTTTAAGAGCTGAAGACATTGAGAAAGGTTTGAAAATCTGAGTGATAATCTTAAAGAGGTAAGGGAAATTTTCGAAGGGTGTGTTATTAGAATTTAGGAAATCTTTGGAGATATCTAAAGAGTATTAAAAAACACTTCTAATCACCTTGATTTGTGTGAGAGTTAGAGAGATTGAGAATTTTTATAATTTTCTTGAAACTCATTGGTAACATTTTTTTAACAACTCTTGAAAATACACTGTATCAGAGAAATGTTCTCTCCACTAGAATAGATTGTTTGATCGAATAGAATAAATAAATATAGTGTTTCTTGTCTTTTATTTTTTTTTTCTACTAAATAAAATTGTTGTTTTATTGCATGAAGGGTTATTTTTGCTTAACACTAGTTATTTTGATTGTCTTTGTTCTTTGTTTCCACACATCAAATTTGTGTGATTAAACTTTTCAATTTTGAAAGAGTGATTCCTACACATTTCTTCATAGCATAATTGGTTGGTCTAGACAACTACAAAATCCAAATCATTGATCATATAAACATTTTCTTAGCTAATTTCTTATTCCATTTAATTTTCGTTGGAGCTAAATAACCAAAAATAATTTGACATTAAACAATAAATGTAAAAATACAACAGCGTTCCTTGGTAGAAAACACAAATTTACAAAAACAATGATCAATTCAACACAAAGCAAACATGATTCACAAACATACAAATCATTACACATAAATAAATTAAAGAACACACTAACTAGTTACTTCATAAACAAGTTAAAGCCGAAGATCTACAAATAATCCACATCATTCTTTAAATCTACTTGGGGACTCTGCTATGAATGCTGTAAGCTGAAACCCAAATGAGCAAAAGTACGACAATGCTACCAAACAATCCCACTGCAACAGATACACCAACATGCCTACAGAATTTGTCATATATGTTGCAAATTTTATTCCAATTAGTGTGTTTGTTTCCCTTCAAACCCAAATATGCCATACTTCCGGCCGTGCCTGTTGCTGACGCCAATATCCCCAACATCACCTGCAACAAAATTATTAGAAATCTATGAAGTTCAGACACAGACACAGACACCGACACTAGATTAACTGATTGATTAATTACCGCGTCCCAGAAGATTAATTGAAGGAGAAGTTTGGTTTTGAGGTTCGGCTTTCGGATTGCAGAGAGTGATACAAGAGTTGTAATGATACTGTAAAGTCCAGAAACAGAAAATGCAGCCACAAAATATCTGTGTGGAATCACAAATATATAATAATGTTAAATTAGTTACAAATTGATAAAAACAATTAATATCAATGAGAATAAGGTGTTATTAGTATGGCGGGAATTCAAATACATAAAGTGGTCTTTAAACAAAGTCATCATTGATGAATTTTCTTCCTTATAGCCTTCAAAAGAATAGTTGTTTAATTCACAACTAAGTCAAGTTTGAAATGCTAGCAAGTTTAACAAGATAAGATTAATTTATAGCTGAAGATTTAGATGCGGTTTGAAACTTGCATATGTAGCACTGACACACAGACGGATCTATGTGAAGGCATGGTGAGGCTATAGCCAGCACTGACATTTATGATTATATATTTAATTAATTTATTTATTTAAACTATTATTAATGTCGATATATCTGTGTCAATAATCAATATCGTATTTCTGGTGTCTGTGTTTGATAGCTTTATTTGCTTGTTCATAAGAAAATATACATAGAGAAGCAAAGTCAGACAAATCAAATATGGGGTAGAATAACTCTAGTCATGCAACTTACACAAAAGCTGGTGAGTATCTGAACTTGGCAGGGATTGGCAAAGGGAGATATTCAGTTTGATTACCAGTAACCATCACCAAAACTGCTGCCAATGATGCTGCAAACAACAGAAACCTTAGAATCACATCAAACTTGAAGTAATCAGCACCACCGGAACCCGAAGCCGGAACCGGAGTTGAAGATGCTTTGTACTCTGGATCACCAATAGAAGCCATGTCCAAAAATTGGTTATATGAGTATGGTTTCAATATATGAGATATATTTATAGAATTGGTGGCTATGTAGTAGCTAAGGATAAGGATAGTTGAACAATGAACAAGTTTACAAATATATATAGATAGATAGATATGAACTTGTAGGATATCCTGAAAAAACAAGAAAGGTGTGTAAACTTGCAATTTAATTAAGTAGGAGTTTTGAGACGCTAGAGTTGGTTTTGAAGTTTGAATAAAATTGTGTTGGTTGACGTGTGTGTATGTATGCGAATGTGATAAATATATTAGTATTTGATAGGCTAATCTCAAGGAAATATATTATATAGGTTACTTTATTTCGAAGGTTCACACATGTGATATTTTTGGGTGCCAGCTTTATGATTTGGGTTGTTGTGATCTTGTTGAATTTGGATTTGGATTTGGATGGATGACATGGAGTCATAGTCATATGAAGATAAAATTATTTAGGTAACGTCCATTATTTACCTTTTGATATGTTTATTAGTGTTAAATTATATATCATTTGGAGTGCTTTTCTTGGCTTTGTTCCTAACTTGTTGGTGGAAAATATGATTGAAAATTGTCTTGATGGCATTGATATATAAACAGGAAGTATGTAATTTCCTACATGAAATCGTAGGACTATATCAACTTTGTTCTCTATTTTCAAAATTTTAAAATGATTTTTGAAACTTCAAAATATTAATCAAATTCATTTATTAAATATTTACAATTATGATAACGATATAAAGTGTCGGGATAACTTAACACAAGACAACATAAAAAGAAATGAATTAGATTGAAATTAAGTGAAAAAGTGTTTATTACTCCATCTTGTAAGTATCATTTTAACATAAAACTCTTCAATCAAAAATATTTTAATTTATATATATATATATATATATATATATATATATATATATATATATATATATATATATATATATATATATATATATATATATATATATATATATATATATATATATATATATATATATATATATATAATCAATTAAATAATTAATTTTAAAAAATTATGAAGTTATGACAATTTATTGGTTTTACAAGTTATTTATTTTAAAGTTGATAATGACAAGAATGTTTTTTATTAGATGTGTTTAAAACCCTCATAATATTTATTTTAAATAAAATTAAAAATTATATTATTTTAAACATGATATATTATTAAATACTATATTATCTTTTATAAATATCATAATGTGTTTTGAAATATAATACATGTTTAAATTGTGTAAAATAATCAGGGTCGGCCCAATTAGTTCGGAACCCGTTCTAGAATTTTTTTTTTGAATAACCATGTATTAAAAAAAAATTTCGCAAATAACCGCGTTTCGGAAAAAATTACGCAAATAACCATGTTTCAGATGACTCCCCAAAGGAGGAGCCATCTGAATTGGCGCATGCACCCATTTTTTAAGGGGAGGCGCCATCTCACTTGGCGCCTATGTGCTTAGGGCATGCCCTAAGCCAAGTGAGATGACGCCTAGGTGTTATTTTAGGGCAAAATTTGATTTTTTTTTGTCCGGTGCGTTGCGTGTTGGATACAAGATCAACAAAATGGACTTTTTATTAAAAAAAAAATAATTACATCCAATTGTATTACATTAAAATAACAGATAAAAAAAACAGATAAAAAAAAACAGATAAAAAAATACAGGAAAAAAAAACAGATAAATCAGTGATCCCCCGGAACCCGGTAATGACCCCCGGTTCCGCATCCCCGTCCTCGTCTTTCTCGTGCTGGGTGTCGTCGCGTTTCCTGCTGCGGCAGGGTTGATGGTCCAACAAAGTCAATGTGGTCCGGATCCATAAAATCAGTCAGATCTCCATATCTAGAAGATCCATTTTGGTACAGTCGGTTACCCATACCCTCAAAGTTTGGTCGTGTTGGCGGTGGGTGGGGTTCCATGGTGGGTCTGTAGCATTGATCGTCTGAGTACGGTGGGTAGAAAGGAAATGGATCTTGGGGTGTTTGGTATTGAGGATGTTGGGTGGTTTGGTGATATTGTGGTTGATGGTAGGCTAGGTCGGTTTGTTCGTAATCTTCCGACATTCCCATATCAGGGCTAAGGCTGGATGTTGAGGGGCCCATATTGGGATATACGGAAGACTGAAATTGTGTGTGGGGTATGCGGGTGTGCTGGTATTGTGATTGGTATTGTGATTGGTATTGTGGTTGGGTGTGAGGCATATCAGGGTATTGGTAGTGTGGTGGTGATTGTGGTTGGTTGTGTGGCATTTGAGTGTAATTGTGTTGTGGTGGGGACTATGGTTGGGTGTTTGTGGGTCTGTTTCTTCTTGGGGTTGGTGGGAGGTTGATGGGTTTTGGGTTTGTTGTTGGGGAAACGAGGGTTGTGCCCATTGTGTGCATGGGTCAACCAAGTACCTTGGATGAGACACGTGCATTTCAGGGTTACTAACCGACCTGTACCAAGAAAAATATTGATCTGTGTGTCGCATATTACCTTGATTAAGGAAAACAGGGAATTGCAAGACATAAAGGTGACGCCTCTGCCACATCTTACACTATTCCGAAGCGAAGTCTTTCCAGTTGGTAAGACCCCACTGGGCGTCGACCCTTTTAAGATGCCATGGGGACAAACAAGTTGGATCACTTGGTATCTCTTGATGCATTCCGAACTGCATCTTCACACGGTCGCTGTGGTGCATCTCCACAATGTTGAACCGAATGATTGCAGTCTTCGCGGTCCAAGTTGCTGCATCCTCCGGGTTTGGATCATGGCCCAAACCCAAATATGGTCTCCAGACGAACTGCGATAAAATTTAAATCAGGTTAACGCAAAAGTAATGTATAAATAATTTAAATGAAGAAAAGTTAAAAGCTACGACGTACGTCATCCGGGCCTAAGTGATCCAACAGATTGCGGTATAGTGCGACATTGAATCTTGGATTCTTGCCATAATCCATACCCCTCACGCAGTACCTAAAGGAAATGAAAAACATTTTATTCTTAACATATATTTGGTGAAGAGATGAATAGTAATAAATGATATAACTTGATGACTTACTTTGTTGCGTACGGGAAACCGAAAGTGTTGTTGTTGACGGGGTTTAAGGACTCCATCCTCCACCAACCCCAGGCTTGTAGTAAAAAAGCGCACCCATAAAATGTACATTTTTCCTTGACTGCATTTTTGCACAAGGAACTATATAGGTGGGCTAAAACTGCAGAACCCCAACTATATTTTCTTGTTTTTTCAAAATTTCTTAGTAAATGTAAATACATAAAATTTACATTATTTCCCGTACTTTCGGGAAATAAAAAGGTACCAAATAGTATCATAAGATAAGTTCTGGCTTTTACTACCCTGTCTTGCTCGGAGGAATTTTCGTTTAATTCCAAACTTGCATAATGACTTTTCAGCTCAGTGAGTAGTATTCCCTGACCTCTCGCACCACCACCTTCAACCATATCCCTGCCCAACAGTTCTTCACACTGAGAGTTGGGTTGTTGAACCGACCCGTTCACGGCCTTACCGTCGACAGGGAGACCTAGTAGCATGTACACATCCTCTAGCGTGATGGTACATTCACCTATTGGTAGGTGAAATGTATGGGTCTCTGGTCTCTACCTTTCCAACATTGCAATAATGAACTTCGAGTCAATGGTGCAGTTGGAGATCTTTATGACATGTCCAAAACCTGCGTATTCCAGATATGGTACGATAAATGGGTCAGGAGCCAGGTAGTTGTGAGAACGGATTCTGAATCTTTTTGTGTCCTGAGTTCATAATGTAAAAGGTGTAAGATTAAGTAAGACGAACAAAGCATTATCTGAAGTATGAAAAATGTATAACCAAAATAGAAACTTACAAATGCGGCAATATTTTTCCTTGTGCCTCTGTGAGAATCGCCTATTGTTAGAAGAGCCATTGTTTAAAATGCTTGAGATTATGAAAGACTTAGGAAGAGATAGAGAGTATGAAAGACTTAGAAAGTGTAAGAGATTATGAAAGATTTCGTAGCAGAGAGTGAGACTTGTGTGGGTGTGAGAGATGTATGATATGGTATGTATTTATAGGCAAAAAAATTTCATATAGTGGTTGCTGGTGCTTGCATGCATGCGAAGTGTCACTCTTGCAGGCTAGGTGGCAGCCTAGGGGGTTACATATATGCATGCATGTACAAAAAATGAAAGGTGTCACTCTTGCAGGCTAGGTGGCAGCCTAAGGATGTATCACGATTGGACAGTAAGGGAGGCGCCATTGGACTTGGCGAAAGAGTACAAAAATGAATGGTGTCGCCACCCCAATTGGCGAATAAGAGGTGTCCTTTGTTGCAAGCTAGGCTCAGGCTACGTGACAGCCTTTGGGATGCCTTTCCTGAATGCATGTAACCCCATTGTAGGTGATGGGAGGAGACTTACAACATATAGTATAGGTGCAGAGTAGGCGCATGCTAGGTGGCATCCTAGGGGGTTACATATCTGCATGCATGTATCACGATTGGACAGTAAGGGAGGCGCCATTGGACTTGGCGAAAGAGTACAAAAATGAATGGTGTCGCCACCCCAATTGGCAAATAAGAGGTGTCCTTTGTTGCATGCTAGGCTCAGGCTACGTGACAGCCTTCGGGATGCCTTGCCTGAATGCATGTAACCCCATTGGAGGTGATGAGAGGAGACTTACAACATACAGTATAGGTGCAGAGTAGGCGCAGGCTAGGTGGCAGCCTAGGGGGTTACATATCTGCATGCATGTATCACGATTGGACAGTAAGGGAGGCGCCATTGGACTTGGCGAAAGAGTACAAAAATGAATGGTGTCGCCACCCTAATTGGCGAATAAGAGGTGTCCTTTGTTGCAGGCTAGACTCAGGCTACGTGACAGCCTTTGGGATGCCCTGCATGTAACACTATTAGGAGCCTTGGGGGTTGCATCCTTACTTAATTGAAATTTTTAGTTTTACGTTTATCATAACATTGATTCACTTAATCTGTCAAATCTTCCAACCT